GTCACTTTGTTCATGTCGTCTCTTCTGCGCCACTCTCTGCAACAAAACAAATGTCAGTTCCCTGCGATAGTTTGTTCAATCTATACCTTCACTTTTCTTAACGCTTAAATTCATAACTGTCAGGAGTGATTTACAAAGGTCTGAGCGTTATCCGTGTAGATGGTGTGCGGGAGGCAAGAAGGTCCATGCCACCACGCACCAAGTGATTCCAACTGGTCCGCTAAGACACCTCTCGACAAATGATCTGCTGGGTTGTCCTGTCCGGGACAATGTTTTCATTGGCTTGGAATGGTGTACGTTTGTATTTCTGGCCACGATTACAGACGAAGGTCTTCCATTTATTTGCCTTGCTGTGGATCCAGCCTAATGCTACCATAGCATCAGTTCATACGATTGCTAGAAGCTGCAGCCGTGGAAGACTTACTTCCTTAACGGGTGCTAATCTGTTCGTACTGCAGACCAAACGACCATGACGTTATTTTTTTTCGGAGGATATAAGGTACAGTACCGCTCCGTAGGCTCTCTCAGATGCATCACAAAATATGTGAACTTGGACGTTGCTCTTCCCTGAAGTCGCAACCCGTCGTGGGATCTGTATGCTTGATAGGTGTAGTAAGGTGGATATCTAAGAGTGCCATCGCGCTCCAAGTTCGTGGGGAAAATCCCGTCCCATCCTATTCCTCTGCACCACGTGTCCTGGAATAGTAGTTTTCCAATGATGGATGCCGGTGACAGCAAACCAAGTGGGTCATAGAATCTCAGTGGCTCGAAGGAGTTGTCTCTTTGTTGCTGGTCCGTCCAGCAGCTTATCAGTGATGTCTCGAGGATCCACCTCCCTGATGCCACCGACGATGACCTGTTGAGGTCGAAACGCGTACGGCAACAGTGCCTTATTATAGTGTTAATAGCTGTTGGCTAACCTACCAACTCAACTTCATCGTCCAAGTCTGCAGTCCGGTTGGCCAAGTAGGTGTTGATCATATTAAGGACAGCCGCCTGACACTTGCAGGATCTCACCCATCCCTGGAAGGCTTTCAAACTGTCATGTCCTCCACTTCGGATCAGTAACTCCTTAGCAGCATAGGCAAGATTTATATAATGACGTGATGCTGCGGACTTCATATCACGGATATAACCGAAGTAGGGTTTACCGTCAACAAGTCTCGTGGCTGCGCGGTATGCTTCGAACTCTCGAAGGAAAAGTGCGTGGAGCCTTGTCCAAGCGAAATTCTGAAAAGGCAAGAAAGCCTGACCTACTCTATACTTAAACTTCGGACGTGTTGTAGGTGCAGTTAGCTCAATCTTCCTGAGAACCAACAAAAAGCTTATCGACAATAGATTTGGCAGCTACGTGCTTGGCCTCCTCCTCTGACGATCCACACTCCATGCCAGTTTCTTGATGTTTTAAGCCTTCGTCTTCATCTTGCTTACAGACAACAAAGGAAAACGTGTAAGAACGTTCATGAGTAAGTCCACCCTCATAGGCTGGAGCGGGCCACAGTCGATACTTAGACGACTCCAGTACCATACTGGCGTAGTTTGCGCTTTTGTCAGGCTTCTCGTGGGAACCAACACACAGCTTCCATTCTACCACTAATACTTGCACTTCCTTCTTAGTTTCAAGGCTCTAGATCCACCAGATGCCTTTCAGTTGTTCAGAGTTTGTTGTCCATTTTCCCATGGGTAGCCTAATTTGTCTCATCATCGCGGTAAGTTCCTGAAAGAGCGTAATTGCCGCATTGTCGTCCCCGGCCCCAGCTGCGAAGTTTTCCCTGAACGTGCTACTGTGTACGAGGGCCGCAGCCCTGGGGAACGTGGTCTTGTTTATGTTGGCGAGTTCCCTCAGCGGCGCTGACAGTAGAAAGGGGAATGAGGTCAAAGCAAACGGGAGACGACTGAAAAGATACGTCGCTACTTCATCAGTCGTGTTGTGGTTTCCCTCATTGTCTAGTGTTACATTGTACCAGAAGAATCTTGTCAGATCCCTGTCCTTGGTGTCTAAGACCTGGTTGATATCGCCGATAAGTGCCACTGGATATAGTTAGAATCGTAGGAGGACTGCAAATATCTCAGGGAGGAGGTTTTGTCCCATCTCCAGCACCTCATTGAGTAAGGTTTCGTTGTCTTCGTGCGAGGACGCGTCGAACACAATTCTCCATTTAAAGTCCCCATGTTTCTCCTTGTCCACAGCTTGATGAGGCAGGTAAAATGTATCTGGATTCCCTTCCGTTTGAGTTGTTCGCTGTTCTCGGTCATACTGATGGAGTCGTTGGAAGAAAATCTGAATCCTTCGTTAAATCGTCGTTTGATGGTGCTATAAATCTGATGGTGATGGAGTATTCCCTTTGGCTAATACTAGATGGCTCCGTGTAAAGAAGGAACGAGATCGAATGGCTGTTATAACACAACCAGTCTTGTAGGTTCAAGGCCGATTTGCGGCAATTCAATCATTGTTTCTTTCATTGAAACCACATTCATAGTCGAATGTACTATTGTTATGGCCGGAGGATGGGGATACGGACAGGTACCTACCCTAGCTAACCATAGGTAACTTATTACCAAAGTTAACCCAATTAATGACAACACGGTTCTAACATAACTCTATTTCAAACAAATAATTAAAGAAAATAAATCAAATCCATTTATAAGTGAATATAAACTACTTTTATATACATTAAATCGTTCATCTACTTGACAATTAATCAGTCACCTCCTGTACTACATTATGCTTTATTAATGTGTGGCTCGTAAGATTATCTATGCCAGCAGAAACACCCATATCTGCTTAATTCTATGAAGTTCCATGCTAGTCAAATGTTAGGACGAACACGACGACCTCCCCTCTGAACAAGGTTCGTTTAATCACAGTCTATACGCACTGAAGAGTAACTAATTTCCAAAAAGTATCCCTTAAATATGTGTTTCATTAGGCATCACATGACATGAATTATTATTGGTTGTTCACGCCCTAATTTCAAATAATATTTTATGAAAGAAGATGTCTGATTCTCACGTCATTTCCTCTGTTACAACTCATGTCCTCAAGACACGTACGCCTTGGATTTCCCAAGCTGCACTGGTATTTTCTGCTGGTGGTAAGCCTGGTGCATGTTGAAATCTTGCTGTTGCCAACTATTGCCAATAATGTGGTCTATATTTCCTGGATGAATATTGGAATTCATACATAACACAGCTTTTAAACTATAAGAATCACTACAGGTTTGCGACGATTTGTAACGGTCTCCTCTTAGCAGCGTGTTGCCAAGGTGGGATCGAGTACGATGAAGAAATCTCGTTGGATAGGACGAGCCATGAGACTCTTATCACGGGATTACTGGTTTTAATTAAGGGTCGCCTCAGCTGTGTCACTTTAGGTATTTATTTTCAGGTGTTTGTTGTGGATTCGCTCCTTCACAGGATACTGATGGATGATATAGATACCAAATTGTTTACTACGATGGGCGTATATAAATGATTTAGACTAACCTGAATTATGTGATCCTTGATGTTGGTGGCTCCAAGGTTACACTTCGGCCCGTTCCACATATTGTCCCTGGAGTTCGATGCTCCGTTGCCATCTATCTGGCAATTTTCTTATTGCCTCACTAAACCATTGTTTGAATCATGTAAGGCGTCACTATCGGGGAATTGAACACAGTTGCACGTGCAGCCACTGGGGTTCACCGTGCTTTCACACCTGCCCAATTCCCCCGAACTGGCACCAAGTTACTATGCCCTCTTCCGTGAGATGAAGGATCCCCTGCGTGTCCACCGATTACCCGATAGTGTGTATATCCGGAAATATTTAGGCGGTTCCCGCATGCATCTTTCCGACGGGTTTGACGCCGAGTGCTTAATGCATCGCTAACTTCAGGATGCGAACCGTGACTGGATTTCAGAATCGCCGAGCTACTCCCCACTATCTCACTATCATTGCAATGCTGGGCTAGAGCATGCGATCCATCCTCTGGATCTCCAAAAATCCAGACGTTGATATAAACAGCATCAATGTACCGAATCCTGAATTTCCGGTTAGCCGAGTGGATCTGAGCTACGACGACGTAAGAGTAAATAAAGAAGTATGTGATAGGCAGGGGGAGAAAGCCCCTTTTATTGATGAAGTTCTTGGCGACTATGTTTGTATTAAAAATGACAGGGCAGTGTACCCCGACATATTAAGTTGTAATATGATTTTTAATCTAGGCAGCGCGTTGAATCGGCTGTTGTGTATAGAAAATGAGTAAGTGGTGCACGGTCTGCAGGACCTGCAGATCAGAACTTTGCTACCAGAAAGAACGCAATAGAAAGTGTCCCAAGAATGCATACACTTTGTTCCGCCATGTTATTTTGTTTCACTTCATAGTGGCATCTAATAGAATGCACTAATACAAAGCAACGCATGTGAGTCATAATTGTAATATATCACTGCAAAATGCCGTTACTCTGCCTGTATTTTTATATCGCCTTATTAACTGCCAAAGTATGCACGCATTTCTTTTTCGGGACACTCGGTATGCAATGGGTGAGACGTTGTCTCCGATACAACGCCATATTACCCAAAATATTAAAGAATTTCCCCTCCTCCAATCATTACGAGGTTCTTCAATTTAGTCTCACCGTCCTTGTCCACAACAATTAATTCCCAAGAACCCTGGAACTCCGGCAAAAACGTACCTGGGGTGTTGAATGTAGACGGTGGAGCTGGGTTACAGTCTGCAGGGAACAGTCTCTTCACGCAGCCAATCTGGGTGCACAGCTTCTATATCAAAGCCCGAGAAGTGGCTATGGTTTGGATTTCGCTCCTGGCGTTGAACGTGATAAACTGTATTCAAATTTGATCTAACTCTGCCTTCTAAACTACCTCTAAATTCACGCGGATAATAATTATTACACAAATCGTCACAACTTTCAAAATCTGGGTCCATAAAGCCACAGATTCTGCATCTGTTTTCCATTGGTATATGAAGATTATTTGCGTATATTATTTCAGACTAATTATATTA